TGAATGACGATGCCAGCCTGGAGTGAATGGCAGGATCGGGATGATGTCCTCAAGGAATTTGGCTGTGAATACACAAAAGGTATTGCATAGTGCATAGGTTATACATACATACTCCAACGTTTACAGAAGGGTTAGACATGAGGATCCAAGGACATTTCGTTTATTTCCGAGTGACTAGATCCAGAGACCCCAGAACACTGTTAGTGATGGTATAAAGTAACACCAAAGCTCCCTCAAACGAGAAAAATGAGCAACTGTACCCACTATCCTAAATAATTCTCAAATGCCAAAAAAACAGATAAGGCCTGGGTATTTATAAATAAGATGCCAATTTCCTTGCTGCTTGGCCATGAACTTAAGGCTATACACATTTCACACTGTAATGTCTCTCAGGGATAAGGCAGTCCCTTGAGGCTTCTGAGCAATGTCTTCTCTTTGTCCTTTGCTGTTCCACTGCTGACCAACCTCAGCTTGTACACTTGCCCTCGGTGGGGAGGAGCTACCGGTGGAAGCTGATACCTTGGTCGTCCAGGTTCTTAGGACTGGTGGCCTGCTTCTCAGCACTGGGCTCTTGTGAGGTGGGCCAAGGAGTTAGCTGAGCTGCAGAAACAGTTTGCAAATAGCCCTGACACATATCTACAGCAAGCACACAATTGCCTTCTCAACTCACAACAGCTCGGCCTTCTTGACATCCTTGCCAATGGTGGCTTCCTGTGGGGCAATACAAGCCAGTTACAGTCAAGAAGCTGTTGTGGGTAAACTGTGGTGACTCACTTTACAGACATGGAATGTCCACAGTGGAAATCTCAGTTTTGCCACTTGAAAGCAAAGCAAACTCTGACACCGTAAGGATACGGAATCCATACTTAAAAAAAAAAAAAATCTAGTGAAAATAGTAGTATCTATCTTATAGGGCTGTGGGAAACAAAGACACTTACGTACACCACATGCTTACCACGTGCATGTCCTATAACCAGCACTCAACCAGCATTAGCTATTATAGAATCTCAGAGGAGTCATGAGAGAAACTTCTATCAGGTTTGGAGGCAAATATGAAAATTCGTTTGTCTGCACCTAGGGACATGCTTTGTTTGACTGATTGGACCAGAAGGAACTTTCCTATCAACAGTAAAAACGGGCTGGACATTGGTGGCTTAAGCCTGTAGTCCTGCTCTTTGCTCCAGCCAACCTGGGGAGAAAAGTCTGACTTGTATCTCCAATTAAGCAGAAAAAAGCCAGAAGTAAAGGTATAGCTTAAGTGGTTGAGTGCCAGTACTGAGCAAGAAAAGTCAAGTGAGAAAGCTCCGAGTTCAAGCCCCATTGCTGGCATAAACAACAACAACAAAACAACAAAACCCAAGTGTTCTGTTTGTGGAGAACATTTTAGATGCCTAATTTAAGCTGGAAGGAACCTTTGGGGGTACCCAACACCCTGTTCTTTTACACACCAGGGTGAGGCTCTAATAGGTCAGTGTCACATGAATGGTGGAGCCTGATTAGCAGACACCTTTTTTTGTTTGACACTGGGTGCTCTGCACCTGCCCTTTCATACACACAAGTTCATGTGTGCACATGTCATTGCTTTCCTCTTCTCTTCAATGGCTTGAATCTATAATTTCTCCAGGCTGGATTGCTGCTTTTGGAATTAGAGATGAGCTCTTGGGAATCCTGGAAATGCACATATCCATAGCCACCCACACTCCTAGAAAACAGATTCCACATTGGGATGAATTTACATAAGCAGTTCAACAAATGAAACACAATTATTAAGTTTCCAAGACTCTATTTCTCAAGAAACCCTAAAAATAAAAGGTGCCTTCAATCTTAAGAATTGACTGTAAGGTATAAAACTGATATGGCAAGTTAAAGTTCTCTAGCATACTTTCAGAACTTGATTTTGACATTTAGAACAAAAAGGGTCTTACATAAGTATTTGCATCTTATAAGATCAGGATGTTCAGATAGAACCCATTGACTTATGTTCTGGACTAGGGTGTACCACTACATCATTTGGAAGATAAACTTTCTTGCCAAAGGTTCATGTCATGAAAAGGAGCTGTCACCTCAGGACAGAAGGACATGTAAAGGAAGGGAGCTCTTAGCACACCTGCAGCTGTTCTGTTTGTGCACTTTTTCTAGGTAGTCACCTACATGGGCTCCCCATGAGGGCCTTGTCAGTAGCCAGCTGTGGAACTTCAGAAAACACAAGTCAGAGTTGACCTGTTGGCAAAATGGTGATACATGCATACTTGAGAAAGTTCTAAGAATAAATACCTGGGATACAGTTAGCATTTAAAAGGAATTTTCCTGCAGACTGGATTCATAATAAATCAAAGTGCATCTTAAAGCATAGCCAGAGTCTTGTTATTTTTGGAAGGCCTTATTATCCTTGTCACTCCAGTCTAGCAAGGCCAGATATGAGAGCTGTAGTTTAAACCAGGCTTCAAAGTGACCCATAGGAGGGTGTGGTACTGGTTGTCTGTTTCTACTTGACTCACATGAATGTTCAGATTTAAAAAATTACACATGGGTATTTCAAAATAACCAGATATTCATGAATATCTAGATTCCTGCCTTCTCTCACAAAAGGCCTGGTTAGAGTGACACTAGGTGGTGGCTCTGAGCCTGAGTGTTCGTGGGGCAGAACAGAACTTGCTTGGTGATCTGGACGTATAATTTCTAGCTCTAACACTAATTGAGCTAGTGGACCTCTTCTCCTTTTTCTGCACAATAGCAGCTATTGATGTTCTACAGTTGTGGTTAATTTCCTAGGTACACAAAGAAAATCTGAGGGCAAAGAATGATGAATTTGCCGGCGCAGGTGGCTCACGCATATAATCCTATCTACTTAGGAGGCTGAGATCTGAGGATCACAGTTCAAAGCCAGCCCAGGCAGGAAAGTCCGTGAGACTCTTATCTCCAATTAACCACCAGAAAACCAGAAGTGGCGCTGTGGCTCAAGCGGAAGAGTGCTCAACTTGAGCTGAACTGCTGAGGGACAGTGCCCAAGCCGAGTTCAAACCCCAGGACCAAAAAAAAACAAAAACAAAAACAAAAAAACCCAAAACAAAAGATGAATTTTTCTGTTCATACCCTACTCTACGCAATTAGCCAGGTATAGTAGGTTTTTACAATACATAACCAATTATACAAATGATTATTCAAACTAAAGGAATCAGTCAGGATGACTCAGAATGAAGGGAATGTTTTTAAGTGAATGATTATTCTCTGCTGAAATACACAGCTTCCCTGTAGCAGATGCTATATGGGGCATATGCATCTGCTCTAGAAAGTTCCCCTACTTCCTATTCTCATCTTGTGGTTTTGAGGAGGTTGGGCATGCCAGGGCTGCATCCTTGGAGGCTTTCTGCTTGGCTGGCTTCAGACAAAGATACCATTAACTCCTCAACCTGCAAGAAAATGATTTGACACAAAGGATTCCAAAATGTCCTCCTCTCCCCCTACAAGCCTGCAAACAAATGGTACAGGAATGAGGTCAGAAAGGAATCCCCCGCCTACCAGGCCACTGAATTCATTTACCTACCTCAGAGCCCATTCAGAGAAAGGGGTGGGACCGGGGAACAAGAGCTGCTTGGAGGCCAAGTGGAGTTTGGGGGTCGAGCGCTACATTACAAGATTTGACAGGCCTTTGCCAGCCTTCAGCTTCTTTGTGTCTCTCACATAATAGAGAAACGCAAACTGAGCAGCACATGATCTGTGGTTACACCCTTGGACAGAGCACACTCTTTGCAAATGCTAATAGTATTGTAGCATCCTGTCACCAGATAACACAAAAAAGGATGTTGATTTTCACATGAACCAGAACAGGCTCATTGTACCCAAGTTTGTGACCAACTTGTAGTATCTGCACATCAAAAGCCCACACCATCAGAGTACACAGCTGGGGGAGAGAATCCTACCAGAGCGGGGCACCCAACAGGGAGAACATCTAGGTCCAAATGCCTCACCCACTAGTTGGATCACAAACATGGCACATTTGATACGAATAGAATTATGTTCTATAATCGTGTGTGTGTGTGTGCTGGGCCTAGGTCTTGAACTCAGGGCTTGGGTGCTGTCTCTGGGCTTTTAGGCCATTTGAGCCATTGAAGATAAGCGTGTCAACCCACTTTCTTATCTGCACTGGCTTTGAACTGGCTTTGAGCTTTGATCTCAGCCTCTTGAGTAGTTAGGATTACAGGTATAAGCCACCAATGCTTGACCTTCTGCCGTGTGTGTGTGTGTGTGTGTGTGTGTGTGTGTGTGTGTGTGTGTGTGTGTGTGTGTGTGTAATTTAATCTTCTTAAATACTAGTACAAGAAGCAATTTACATTTGGGTTAAAAATAATAACAGCAACAACAGAAATCCTTCAACACACACAAGAAAGAATAGCTTTGTTTTAAACACATTTAAAAGAAGTAATGACTTCCATGTTAGTGACTTCACCCAAAGGAGCCTTAACACTGGTCCTGGAGGCTGTGAACATCACTCTGTGGGAGCTGCATACATACACACACTCTTGGTTTTCAAGTACCTTGGCCCTACCATTTTAGGAATTGATGATTTATGATGCAGGCCTTTCTTACACTTAGTCATAGCAACTGTCTTCTTCAGGCTAAAACATCACCTGATTTAAATGTTCCTGGGCTAGGGTGTGGCATAGGCAATAGAATGCTTGCCTAGCAAACACAAGGCCCTGGGTTCAAAGTCTAGTACTGGCCAGTACTGCCAAACAAGCAGGCAAGAAAGCAAACAAAGCACAAAACCATTCCTGATACTCTCCTAGCATTTATTACCTTTACCTCTCTTACTTTTAAAACTTCTAATAATTTTTGTAGTACTCTGCCTTAACTCTTGAGCTTTCTGAATTTATATTTTATACTAATTAGTGCAAGACTTATGATTATCTTAGTGACCAGGAGTGATTATCTTAAAAGGCGCTTTATGACATAAATATATGCTGGTTATAAACATAGAATAACCACATGAATTCTTTAATTAAAAATGCTCAAAGAAAACACATTTTTGTTTTAAGTCCTCAGCAAATAAATTCTTTACTTTTTTGATAAAGATTTTGAACTTGACTTGCAAAAAGGATGAACTGAAATTTCAACCAATATAGAGTAAGCATTAACCATGAGCAAAGTTCTGGTAGAAATGAAATAATGATGGAATTAAATGATCTTTCCCGTTCCTAGGGGCCTATAACTTCCTCATATATAAAGTGAGAGTCGTGGGAGCAAAGTACAATTAGAAAACATTTTTTTGGAGTACTAAAATGTTTGGACAGGCATCAAAATAGGAGAAAAAAATATCAGAGGAATATAGACTACAATTGTGACAAAAATTCAAGGTATGTGAAATTCAAGCTTTCAGAGAAGAGCCATAGGTAGAACTATTAGCCCATACATTTAGACTATGGGGTCAAATACTGACTCCCAAGTACACACACCTCTTTCTCTCTCATTCAAACAGGAAAACTTTGAAAGATGCTCTTTAATAATAGAATCATGTGATTTAAGTATCTTTTAATGACTTAGCAACATAAATGACCTTTGATCAAGCACAGGGCAAAATATAAGTTGCAGTGACATTTACATTTAGCGTGAGATTTAAAAAAAAATCATACAAAGTTCATTCAGTGGACAAATGGAAACAAGGGATATTTTGAGTATTTAAACATCACACAGTTATAACCAGTCATAAAGTATGCATATCTTAAAGCACATTTTCCAAATGCTAATGCAGCTGAAAGTACAACACATACCAGCTTAGAGAATTGGGTTGTAGGAGTTACTGCGATTTCATTTATTGGAGAGAGAAAATACCATACTTCTTTTATCAGATAAATACATCCAAAATAAATAAAAATGAAATTATTAAGTAGCTAAGGAATTTGTTGTTTAAACCCATACTCTAAACATTTTAAGGTAGAGTCTAACTGTATACCCTGGGATGGCCTTAAACTCACGATTCTCCTGCTTGGCCTCCCCAGTGCATACACCATCATGACTGGCAACCTCACTGTGCATCTTACATGCCAAATCTCAAGCTTGTAATGTTTCTTAGGTATTTTCTTTCTTTTCTTAGTTTTATGTTTTTGCATTTGATTACTATATAATTTGTAGGAAGGAGTGCACTGGATGAAAGCCTGGAAAATGAGGCTACTACGAAGACAATGATTAAACTAGAAAGGCTGATTGTTCCTCCTGTAAGTACAGTTCAGCCATTTCAACTGTGAGGTGAGAACATACCACACATTTCCTACTGTGCACAGCCTACACATATCCTCATCTATTAATTTGTCCTTGATTTACTCCATTCTTTGCAAAGTCTGACATGATAAACAGATGATTAGATTAGATTAGATACAGTTATACTTTAACTTCTGTGTAGCAACTGGCTGATTATTTTTTATATTTAAGTTTGAATCATTTGTAGTTTTTGAACTACAGATACAACACACAGTACTTACTGTTGAGACTGAATTTTATTTTTTTCTTTTCATAACAACTGCAATTAATAAATACTTAGTTTTCAAGGGAGGGGAGAAAGCATACGTCAACTAAAAACAAACACAAAATAACAACAAAAAAAAGCCAATCCATGAAAGAAACTGTATTGTTGAGGGGATAAGGAGTGTGAAAGGAATCACTTTTAAAAAACATATATATATTTATCAGCAACTTTTATATTTAAGTTACACTACTAACTCTCTCACAGGATTGAAAGTTCTCCTCTTCCAGTTAAAAAGAAAAAACAAAATTTAAACAAGGGGATGTGAAAAATGACTCCCTAACTTCAGCATTTGGCAAAGAATGAATCTGTAGAAATAAAGCTGGGGGGGCCTCTTATCTATCCATAATTCACAGAAACAAACAGGCTATTTCTTTATTCCTTTAGAAGTAGACATGTAGTTGTAATGGGTGTTTCTCAGCTGCACATTGTGTGATGTGTGCTCCAGTAAGGGGGCTTACTGTGGCTGTCAGGGCTTACCCCGTAAGGCCAGCTGCTAATCTTAGTGTGGACCATCACAGGGCTCTGTGCCCTTTGTGCTGACCTCTGTCCCTCACCTACAAGAAAACTGGAAATGTCCTTGACCACTTGTCTATTAAACAACATACACTGCTACTAACTGCAAAAAGGAGATGTTCCTACCTCACAGTTTAAATTAAATAGTTGCATTTACTCAACTATCGGTGACATTCTCCACCTATGCACACTGTCAAATCATGAAGGAGCTCAATGAAGAATGTATTCAGATAAAAAAAGAAACAAGTGTGTGTGTGTGTATGTGTGTAAGCAGAAAATCGTTATCAAAAAACAATCCCCAAAATAGTATAGGCCGCTCTTGATCTTTACTCAATGTAAACTGTACTCACAAAGTAGGTATGTTCTGTTAGCATAATAAAGCCTTAACAGCAAAAGAGAAAAATTTTATAAGTTAAAAATGGTGTATTTTTTTTAAAGTCTGTTAATTAATAAAATAAGTTTGTATAAAACATGAAAATGTTGGAAGAGCATTATTGTACTTGAACTGCAATGATTTAAACTTTAAATTTTGTTTTAATTTTCAACTGAGAGGGAAATGGTGACCATTATTCTGTTGCAATGATTTCTATTTAGAATAGAGGGGTAGAGAGGGAGTAGCACAGTGCTGCAGTATTTGCCTAGCAAGTCTGAGGCTCCAGGTTCAATCCCCTGAACGCTCTGCCACTCACCCTCAAAAAAAAAAGCCATAGGAAGAAAGCCTTTTCCCGATGTCCAAATATTTGACAATATTCTAAATGAAATAAGTCAATTGATTATTCTTAATCTTTTCCATCCCCTGCCATGGGTTTCTGTTAATAGAAAAAAAACCCCTACTGTTAACAGAAAGCCCAACTTAAGTACACAACATTCAAAATAAATGAATTCTGAATGGATGTCGAGTGTGGAAAAATATCAACTGAAGGTAAGCTGCTACTAATCGCTTCTAAAACAATTTCTAACCTAGCAATCAAGGCTGGTTTTTTTTCACTGATTACACTCTGAATTGTTAAAATCCAAATTTACCTATCTGAAGATCTTCCCTTAATCAGTTTTTCCCTCCCCTTATAACTGAATTAACAGTTAACTAATGCCTGGGAGGAGAACACTATAGTTACAGATGATGACTTAGCAGGCTACTATCATTTTATATACAAATGATAACTTAAAAAAAAGTACTATTCCAAAATGACTAGCATTACATTTCTGAAAAAGACACAGTGAGTACCATGGATAATGAATTACACTAGTGCCACCACAAATAAGACAACAGAGTAGAAAGCAAGTTTCCTATCTTCAAGGACTAGCCTGAGTGGCTAGGCCAATTATACTGATCTGTCACCTTGATACAATTATATAGGATGATAATGCCATTTTCACTGTTCTTCCAGTCAAAAGGCAGCTGAGGGTCAAAGTGCCTGAAACACACATGAATTATTTTCCCCTATGACTTTTATTGTATGTTTAAGAAGGTGGAATAGCAGAAGGAAGAGAGGCAGGACAAAAGACTGACGTTTTGTTTCTTCAGATGTATGCAGAGGCGGTTATGAGGATTCTGTAAAAATAAATCCATTTGATAAATTTAGGTCTGGAAAGACAAATGCAGCGTTTCTCAACAAACTTTAATTATTACATGATCATAAAAAATTGAAGCCCAACTATCTCTGTTTGCTAATTTTGTTAAAATGATTCTTAAATCACCTTTCACAAAGCATTAGCATAATTTTTATCTAACATGTGAATGAAAATATATTAAAATTCATTTTCTATATAAAAATTGTAAGACATTTAAAAATTGGTTGATAAAGAAGAATCTGTGTGGCTGTGTTGGATATAAACACCTCAGCAAATAGGGATTTAGTAGGATTTAGTGGATCTGCAGAGTACAATCTGATCACTTGTCCAATTCAGAGACAGTTTGCAAAAGTCCACAGTCATAGAGTACATGGTTTGGTCATAGAGCAAACAGGTAGGGGACAAAGAGAGCTGGGATCTTTTTCCTACGCTCAGGCTTTAGGTGCACAAGTATTACCACTATTTGACTCTTAAGACTGTCCTGAACTGCTCTTGGGGTACACACTCTAGCAGATAAAAGACATGCAATTACATCTCTGGAAGCAATTACAACTCTAGATATTATACTGTGAATAACATAGAGGATATATATAGCTAGTATTTTAATAGTTTCTGTGGCTTTCATGAATTCTTTCTTCCAAAGACCATGTTGTAAACAATCTTGTCATGTACATTCTGGTACTAAACAGAAATTCTAAATAAAGGAAGAATTTAAAATACTTATATCTGTTGGCCTATACCTATAATCCTAGTTACTCAGGAGGCAGGAATTAAGAGTATTAGGGTTCAAAACCAGCCTGGGCAGAAAGTTTGTGACTGCATCTCCACCAAATGCTGGGTGAAGTAAGAGGAGCCTGTCATGGCAACCAACCAGGAGACTGAGATTGGGAGGGTAACAGTTTTGGCAAAAAGGTTCTTAGGATCCCATCTCAACAAAAAGAGCTGAGTCTGGTGGTATGCATGTCATCCCAGCTATAGAAGAAAGCTTAAACAGGAGGATCATGGTCCAGGCTAGTTGGGGAAAAAGTGAGACCCCCACCTCAGTGATAACTAGAGGTGTGGTTCAAGCAGTAAAAAAAATAGGTACTGTTTTTAGTAAGTTTCATCACTAGGATGATACTGGAATACTTTCTGCATGTAAAATAAATTTTCAAGCACTGAAGATATAGAAAACATTTACAAATACTGCCACTTATACAAGCATGATATCATTTTTGGCTTGTGTTAAAGATATTCTGTATTTTTATAGACTTTTATGTATCTGTCTTTCAAAGAAACAAAATAAAGTATCAAACCTTTTCTGAAATCCCTTGTTCCTTCCCTTTAGTAGTAGTGCCCCATTAAGAACAAGGATCTGAATAGCGCCTCCCTTTCTCCCTGGCCTTCTTCTCAGGCCTGTACCCTTACAGTATAGAGCAAGACGTAACATGAAGCCCACTGCTGGGGCGCATGAGTTGCTAGTGACAGAACCTTCTACAGTCCCACTCCTTCCATTTCAGTGAGTATTTCATTAAGTGATAATGGCTTGTTCATAGTGGTTTTCTTTTCTCAACTCCTTCACTAAAAGCAACTGACTTACCAATAATAATTGCTAAATGATGATCAGCAACTGGAAATGTACTAGCGAAGTCCTTAACTATATATTTTATTAGGAACATGGCTTATAATGGCAGACTATAGAACCAGACAACAGTCAAAAGGAGCAATAGATTCTAAGGCTATATAAACAAATTTAAATAGAAAAAGAGTATTGATAATTTTTTTAAAAAGTAGAGTTAGATTAAGGATTCCTCAAATGAGTAGCTATGCAATCAGCTGAAAATAAACACATACACAATTAAGCGCTGACTATGACCATGAGGAGTAAATTAATGACAGCTAAAGTTCAATTCCTCAGTGCAGTAAATGTGTCACTTACTATAAAATCTCTCAGCCCTTTGCTCACCTGTTTTCTGCATAAAATGTGTTGTAGAGAATATTTTTAGCTTAGACAGAGGGAATCAAAGATTTGAAGGACCAGTATAGTTTTAGAGATCCATGTCACTAAAATGCTAAAAGCAAGTTAGAACAGAATAAACTAGTAAGAAAAATTTAAAATATAAATTATGTTTTTAGTACTAATGCAGAACTTTTACTTACCTAATACAATTTACTTCTCCTGATGAAGAGCCTCAATGAAAGCATCAAGTTTTTCTTGAATCTCTCTAACTTTCTCTAGGGAGATAAAAAGATAATAACTTAGTTAACTAAAAACAAATTTATTTTTCAAATGTACTACAAGCAAATCACCAGAGATGATGATTAAACAATGTAGTATATTTATTGAACTATCTTAAGAAAAGGAAAAAAATTAGTCCCAGTACACCATCCAAGATGGACTAATGTGCATATGGCTTAGAGTAGCAGTGCTCAGCCACCCTTTGGAAGGGTGGCCGATCCTTTAAAGGGGCCTCTAGAAATAGTTGTTGACTCTTTCACAGAAAAAGACACATACAGGTATGTGTACAAGTTATGTATAGGATTACTTTAATACATTCTCTGACTCTCTGAAGCTCTATTGAGGACTCATAGCAATTTCTGAAACAGGAAACTCTAAAACATTTTTAACAATTAAAATGATATAGGTGGGTATTTAACTGGCCTTAGGCTGGAAAAAAATTTTTTTTTTTTGGTTGGTCATGGGCTTGAACTCTGGGCCTGGGTGCTGTCCCTGAGCTCTTCAGCTCAAGGTGAGTACTCTAGACCACTTGAGCCAAAGAGCCATTTCCAGTTTTCTGGTGGTTAATTGGAGATAAGGGTCTCAGGAACTTTCCTGCCCGGGCTGGCTTTGAACTGTGATCCTCAGATTTCAGCCTTCTGCATAGCTAGGATTACAGGTGTGAGCCACCAGCAACTGTCTGGAAAGTGATTTTTAAATAAAAAATAATGGAACAAGTTATACAGAAAAGATCAACCAACATAAGTGTATAGTGATTCATGTAATCAAAATATCATCAAATTAAAAGACAAAAAGGAAACTATATTACAACCAGGAGGAACAATATCTTGAAAACACACATAGAAAAGCACTTCCCCAGGTATGAGCCACAATTACTAAAGGTAGATTTTTAAATTTAATTGATTAAAAAATTTTCATGTCTATAGACTTATAGATACAACTTCTAATTTCTCGGAAATGCAGGTTTTCTCCACAAATATAAACTCTTCTTAAATGTGGAAAAATCATGACTTATAATACTTCATTGCAGCTTAAAATGTTGATTATAACATGATCACAGATGTTTTTGTCCTTTTAACGCAGTTTAACCTAGTAATGGGAGTGACTAAGGGCTAACTGGTTCAAAACAGATGCAGCGTGGCAAACATGCTTTGTATCCATCCTTAAGTCCTAGATGATAAATTTAATCTTCTGTACTTACATCTTTTACACTTCAAATAAATAGTTGCCTCTGGAGATATAAGTATCCCTTCTTATCAGCCAAGGGGGTGTTAGTAACAAGTACATTTTAAAAGGAAGAATTTCCCTTTTTGTAAGTTCCTACTAGCATAGCTGGAATGTTAGAAAGTATCCTATGGTTATATGTAAAGAACATAACTTTTCCATATTCTTTTCTTCTGAAAATCTAGTATTTCTAATTGTTGGTATTAGATTAAGATTAATACAGATCTGAAAGGAAGTTGCTCTTATTTTGATTAAAATACTTTTTGAGAAAATATGGTATTAGTTACTCTTTACATGTAAGATTAAGTTAGAGAGACTGGACAAAGAATTCCAATCCATCTCTGAAGTATACTCTACATTTTTTGGTATACTGGTTTCTTTTAAACAGCAGTCAAACTATTAAACAAAGCCAAATTGTTAGTTCAGATATTAATTCATTTAATTGAATATTAACTCATCTAGTTGCCTAGAAACAGATGAACTGTTTTTATTTGTGGAAGCTAGACCTAAAAGACATATTCATGGATATGAACGCACATATACATATCATATATATGGATAAATATAGCCTAACTGATTACTTATAAAAAGGAGGAGAGTAGGAAGAAGATATCCTGCAACTACATAGAGAAGTAGCATAAAGAACCATAGTGAGAGCTGTTGATCAGTAGGACGTTCAGAGAAGGGAAAGAGAAAGGCTGTTGTGAGGGTGGTTCAAGCAAGAAGGGTTTGGGCTAACAAGGATGAAATAGAATAAATACCTTTAAAATAGATTGTAGATTGTCAGAAAGTATGATAAAGAAAAAAAAAGAAAGGAAACTCGTTGAATTGTGTTAGGAAGGGGAGTGGATAAGGAAGAGTGATGGGGAGATTGACTGGAATACACTGTATAAAACCTTGGAAACATAACAATGAATGCCCCTACCTCTTGTTAAACTTACTTTTTTCAATCCATAGTTACAATAGATTCACGTAAGTATAGTTCCTCAGTCTTTCTCTCTCTCTCTTTCTTTCTTTCTTCCTTTCTTTTTCTTTCTTTCTTTCATAAAGTAAGAAGGTGAAGGAAAAATGTTTTCTAAATTGTCCTATAGTTTTAGAATGGATAGATCTTTAAAAAAAAATCTAACTTGACAAGCACAATACCTGGAAATTCCAATGAGGTGTTTAAGTCCACAGCAGCATCTTTAGCCACTTCACTAAAAAACAGTTCTACTGTGTACCAGATGAGGTGAGAAAATCTGATTTCATTGCATTCATGATTTGAGAGAAGTAGGCAGTTGAAGGGCACTACCTCCCTCCTCAGCTGAGCGGACCACCTGTGGGTGAGGACCTCAGAAGCATCACCAGAGCTGTCTATACTGAAAGACACTGAGAGGAAGCTGTGTAACTCAGTGACATCTGACAGCCTTATGCTATTAATAGGTAAGCATTTTTTTTTTTTTGGTTGGTCGTGGGGCTTGAACTCTGGGCCTGGGCGCTGTCCCTCAGCTCTTCAGCTCAAGGCCAGCGCTCTACCACTTGAGCTAGAGTGCCACTTCCAGGTAAGCATTTTTTAATAAGTGAAAATAAAAGGATTATTACATGAAAGCCACGGAATTAAAAAAAGTTAAATTTCCTTTAAAAGTTATTTTAAAAATGTTACACTCCAGGTGGGTGCTGGTGGCTTATATCTTGAATCCTAGCTACTCAGGAAGGCAAGAGCTGAGAATCACAGTTTAAAGCCAGTCTGGGCAGGAAAGTTGGTGAGATTCTATTTCCAAGGAACAAGCAAAGAAGTTTGAGTAGAGGTATGGCTCAAGTGATAGAGTGCCAGCTCAAAAGAAAAAGTAGAGTGCAAGCAAGAGGCCCTGAGTTCAAGCCTTGGTACTACTGTATACACATACACACACACACATACACACACACACACACACACACACACACACACACACACACACACTATAATTAGACTATAAGGATAAAAGACTGGCATGCCTTAAAAATCTCAAGGACACAAAAGTAAGTGACTAGAAGTAATGGGAAATAAGTTACTAGAGTAATGGGAATGGGCAGTGAGAAGAAATGGAGGTAAGTGTTAATAAGAAAAAAGCTGTTGTAAATCAAAGAAAGGTTGGACAAATAGGATTGCATGAAACTGCAGAGCTTCTGCATGGCAAAGGACATAGCTAGCAAGATCAATAGAAAACCCATGGATTGGGAGATCTTCATTAGCATTACAACAGACAAGGGTCTAATATCAAAAATATACTTAGAACTCAAAAAACTAAATCCCCCAATAACAAATCCTCAAAGAAACAACCACCCCATCAACAAGTGGGCTAAAGACTTAAAGAGAAACCTCTCTGAAGAGGAAATAAGATGGCCAATAGATACATAAAGAAACGCTCAACTTCTCTAGCCATAAAAGAAATGCAAAAATCAAAACAACATTGAGATTCCACCCTACCCCAGTTAGAATGGCTATAATCAAGAAATCTAATAATAACACATGCTGGAGGGAATGTGGCCAAAAGGAAACCCTACTGGATTGTTGGTGTGAGTGTAAACTTGTTCAACCACTTTGGAAAGCAATATGGAGGTCCCTCAAAAAACTCCACATAGAGCTCCCCTATGATCCAGCAATCCCACTTTTGGTCATTTACCCAAATGATTACAAACAAGACCATACTAAAGCTACCAACACAACTATGTTTACTGCAGCATTATTTACCGTAGCTAAGATATGGAACCAACCAGATGCCCCTCAGTAGATGAATGGATCAAGAAAATGTGGTATAATATACACAATGGAATTCTATGCCTCCATCAGAAAGAATGACATTGCCCCATTTGCTAGGAAATGGAAAGACTTGGAAAAAATTATATTAAGTGAAATTATATTAAGACAGGCCCAAAGAAACATAGGTCCCATGGTTTTCCTTATAACTAGTATATCTAGGTCAAGCAGAAAAGATCAAAAGCTATACCATAGAAGATGATGTTAAGGGAAATGAACTCCAAGATAGGGACACAAGTGGATTTTTCTTTCTTGCTATTGCTTTTAATATATTTATAAGGTACTATGTGAATTTTTTGTTTCTTTGGTATGTTCCTCCCCCATGGTATAACCCCTGTTTTCACTGTTTTTAATTCTGATGACCTGCATCTTGTATATACATTTTTCTAATTTGGGCAGGGGAAGGGAAGAGAAAACACAAAATGCTTAAATAGGGATACAGGTTGACCCACTGTAACAATGAGAGGTACAAGACACTATGTTGAAAACTAACTTTATAACTTCAGGCACGAGGGTGGGGGGGTGGGAGGAGGGAGGAATTGGGGAGGGAAGAGATGGTGGGGAAAACAAAGGAGTGGGTAACAATGCTCTATAGGAAATGTACTCATTACCTTACTCATGTAATGGTAACCCCTCTGTACGGCATCTTTACAATAAAAAGTATATATTAAAAAAGAAAAAAAGCCGGTATCAGGAATATAGTTTTTTGACACAACCTAAAGAATCTGTCTTCACCAAATGATGCACTTGGTGGAGAAATGTGGGGCACAGAAGACACTTTACCTCATTCAACCCTGTTCCTGTTGTAACTAAAGGTGAGGATGTTAAGGCTCAAGGAACCAGCCCTGTCTGGGCTCTTGACTCAGAAACACTCTGCAATCATCGGCCGAGTCTGAATAAAGAAGATGGTACTACTTCAACTGTATTTGTGTTGCCTTCTATGTAAAATCAGGAGTATTTTGATAAAAATCAGAAATATGGGTACAGATCATCATG